CTGGAGTAGGCAGGTTAGCATCATTTGGGTGAAATGAATCTTCTTGGGGATTGAGAGTCTGGGGGGAGGGAAAGCTGTTTGCAAAGTCCCCCACTGCCACCCCAAGGGGCCTAATTTATTTTCTGGCTCCTGAGAAGGGAGAAGAGACCTCCTGGGTGGAGAGAAGCCCAGAGAGAATAGAGCCTGCTCTTGCCTGGCAGCAGCTAGACATAGAGCCTATTCTAGATGGCACTGCCCCTCCCCCAAACCCAGCACCTGAGGCAGACTTGTGGTCAGGACCTGTCCTGCCGAGGATAAGCAGGTGGAGGGTGCCTGTATGTTCTCTCCCCTGAAGTTCAGGAGCAAAGCAGAATCAGGCCTGTCTCCCTAGGCACAGGTGGTTGGCTTGGACAACCCAGTCAGGCCTGGTTCTGCCTGGTCACTCCTAGTCTAGGCCTCTCCAAAAGAGAAGAGAAAAGGAGTGGACTCCCCCTTAGGTCTGGATTCTGGACTCTTTCCCTGAATTCTACTTCCTAGGAAAAGAAGAGAGAAGAGGAGAGCAGGGAACTGTGTGCGTGTCAGAGGATGTGTGTGGGTTTGTGAGAGTCACTGTGTGTGTGTGTGTGTCTGTGTATGGGTGTGTGCTTCTGTGTCTCTATGCTACAGCTCTCTAGTGTCTGACAGTACCTTTAGCGGTGTGTGTCTTTGAGGGGTGTCCCCGCGTCAAGTGCCTGTTTCTATGTTCTCTTTCTCTGGGTGTCAGTGCCTTTTTCCTGAATGTATGTGTGTGTGTGCATACATGTGTGTGCACATGGGTGTCACTGTGAGGACAATGACTGTGGTGAGAGCTGGAACACAAGGTGTTCTGCCTTCTGACTTAACGGGCAGTATCAATGTGAGTAGGAGGGAGAATGGCAGGGGACACCATTGGCTGCACTGGGAGCAGGCCCTGCCTGAGCGTGAGGGCTGAATCTTTTGTAGGTGTTCCAGGAAAGTCTGCTTTGCTCTATCTGACTTTTAGCCCTCGGGCCTGCCCCTTGGGCCCTGGACCAAGGAAGTCCCTCCCCACACCCAGTATTGACATTCTTGGGGGCTGAGCTCTTTTATTCCACCTCCAAGAAAAGCAAGCCTCAGGCTCAGCTGGGGACTTCAGGTCACCAGCTGTCAGGTCCTGATGCCAGCTGAGGACTTCCCCATCACCCTTCTGTGCCCACCTGCCTCATACACACGGCAAAAGGGGACATGGAGGGAGCCAAGGCCCAGATTGTTCAGCAAAGAAGGGGGTCTAGTCCAACTTATTAAAAGGTCCTAGACCCCCAGCTTCCTCTCAAGTCTCCTCCATGTGAGATCCAAATTCATATCTTGGGCTCCCAAATCCTTCTGGGAACGCCAGCCTGGGGAGCAAAAGGCCCAGGACCAGCTGCAGCAAACTGAACCTAGGAAGGAAAGGCGAGGCGCGCGCCGGTCATTCCCAAGGGGGCAGTACGGTTCCCACCTCCCACGCGCCGCGCGCTCCCGAACGGAACGGGACAGGACCTGGGGAGAGCGCGCCAGGGGCGGGGCTTCGGGGGCGCGCCCAGGAGGGCGGAGGGAAGGGCTGGGGGCGTGGCCTAAGGCTGGGGCCCGGCGGCGGCGGCGGCAGGGAGCTGGGAAGCCGAGAAGCCGGGAGCGCGGGGCTCAGTCGGGGGGCGGCGGCGGCGGCGGCTCCGGGGATGGCGGCGGCTCCGCTGCTGCTGCTGCTGCTGCTTGTGCCCGTGCCGCTGCTGCCGCTGCTGGCCCAGGGGCCTGGGGGGGCGCTGGGAAATCGGCATGCGGTGTACTGGAACAGCTCCAACCAGCAGTAAGTCGGGGGCCCTGGGAGTCCGTGCGTCCGATGGCAGTGACTGGGGGAGCTGGTGGGCCCGGGAAGTCCTGGGAGAGACCAGGGTGGGAGTCCTGGGAGACCAGAGCTGGGGGCTGGGAGCCGGGGGAGAGGGGGACGCACTCTGTGGGCGTCTATGAAACTCCGGGTGTGTGAGAGAAGCTGTTGGGGTATAGTAAGGAGCGCTCGGGCCGTGCGGAGGTGGCTGCTGGAGGGGCCCCCACCCCATCTTGGCTTCTCTCCACACCCACCACTGGAATAGCGTGCCCCTGTCCCATAGTCCCCCCATCTTCACTCCCTTTAGCTGGGTTGGCGTTTGGGGGTGCCAGTGTGCTGAGGATAGGCCGCTACATTTGGGGGCCCAGGAATGACCTGTTTTCCGCCATGAGGGTTTCTAGGGGTTCTGTCTAGGACTCCTGCTTTTAAAAGTGGGATCCAGAGCTGAGGCGGGGAGTGTGACCGAGCACCTCCCCAGAACGAAGGCCAATGGGTTGTCCTGGTTATGTGGATAAACCCGGCTGGGGTGAGCTGGGGCTGGGTCGCCGAGTTGGGGGACCCTGGGAGTGCTGCTTGGTTAGGATGGGAACGTGGGGTACCGGCGAGAGGGAAGGAGGCAGGGAGATGTCGGCGTGTCACACACGCACACACACGCCGGGCCTGGGGACGGCGTATGGTTCCAAGTGTGAGCGGGCGTGCGCGGCTGTCAGTGTGCGTGTGTGTCTGAGTGTGTGATTTGTGTGTCTGCGTCGGCGATCGTCTGGGGGTGGGAGCGGGCTGTGGGTCGGGGAAGGGGCTGCGGCCGGTGTCCGCGTGGCCGGCCGCGTCTGGGCTGGGGTAGCTGTTGGCGCCGCCGCGGTCTGGGCGGGTGTCAGGGCTGCCGTGTGGTTTCCCGGGGTGTGTGGCGCGGCGGCGGCCGGGTGCTGGCTGCGGGGCCGGGTCTTCATTCTGCTCAGTCCTTGCTGCCCTTGTCTTCTCCTCCCCACCTAGCCACCGTGTGTATCACCCCGGCCACCTCAGCGTGTGTCGGTGTGTTGGTGGGGGGGATCCCTGGGGACGCGGGGGTCACTGTCACACCTGCCCGGGTGGTGGCGGCAGCACTGCCTCTGGCTCCCCACCCCAGGGGGGCAACTAGGGAGCAAATGACGAGACCCAAGGGGAGGGGACCAGGAGGGCCGGGCGGCCTCGACCCCCAACCTCCCGGGGGAGGGGCTGCCGCCCGCCGCTCCGCTCTTTGTTGTTTGGGGCTCCGCGCCTCCCCCTCTCTCCCTTCTCGCGCCCGGAGTGTCAGACTGGGGGTGGGGATGAGCCAACGACGCCCCCCTCTCGCTTCCCATGGAAACCTCGGGGGTGGGTATGTGGCCCCTCCCCCCCGGAGCGGGACTCCAAGAACTCCGGGGGGCGCTGGGGGTTGACTCCCCTGCTCTATCTAGCTCATCCCCTCCCCTAGACTCACACGTCCGCCCCCCGCCCCGCTAGAGTCTGGCAGGGAGTAGAGAGCTCGCAGGTGAGGGGCCTCGGGTTCCTCGCCACCCTTGGAGCACCTCAGCGTTCTTAGGGGACGCCAGAGCCGGGGAGTGGGGGGTTGCGGGAATAGCCTTCGGGGGCGGATGTTGATCAGGTTCCCCTCCCCCGCATACACCTGGGCGCAGGTGAAAGCTCTGGGAGGGGGTGGGGAAGCCCGGGTTCTGGGAGCCTCCTTTCTGTCCTCTCCACTCCGGTGCGGGCCTGGACCGGCGGAGGTAGGAGGGGGCGCGCACCCGGCCAGGAGGCTGCCGCCGCCCCCGCCTCGTTTCCCGGGCCTTTGTTGCCGCTGCGCCCGGGCTCCCCGGCTCCCTCACTGCGGCAGCCGCGGCCCCATAAATCGTGAGAGCGACGTGCTCCGGAGCCGAGAGTGGAAGGGCCGGGGAGCTGGGGGCGGGGCCGGGCCGAGCCACAGGCTCTCGAGCCCCCTCCCCCCAGTCACGTGAGCCCAGCTCCTGGCTCCCACCTCCTGTCGCGAGCGGAGGGTCTCTGCCCCTTGGGGTCACGTGGGGAGGGTCTTGCGACCCCGCCTCCTGGGGGTCACGTGGGAGGGTGCTGGTGGGACACGTGCAGCGGCCTCTTTGACAGACCTGGGGGCATAGCCCTGCACAACGACCGCGACCCAGCCTAGCCCTCTGCCCCCGACTTAGCCCTTCCATTTAGTCCTCTGGAATAGGCGAGACCTGTTCCCCAACCTGGCCCAGAAGGGGGCCAGGGGATGGGGGACTATACTGGAGGGATGCCTGAGAGTGTGAGGTCAAAGAGTCCCCTAAGCCGGGAACTGAATTTGGAGAGGGGCGACTGGTGGCCGAGTATATGCCCCTGGCCTGTGCTTCGTTTCTTTGCAGAGCTGAGCAGGGTGTTGGTACTCTCTCCCGTGTCAAGAAGCCTCAGGAACATCTTTCTCTAGCTGTCTCTCTACCTGTCTCTTTATCTCTGAACTGTTGCTGTTGCTGATCTCTTTCATTCACACATTCATTCAGCAAATATTTATTTTAGCTCTACTACGTCCCTGATGGTCTTTCCAGTCACCAGGTCTCTGCCCTGCACCCGTCTGTGTCCCTGATTCTCTTCTTTGCGTCTCTGTCTCCATCTCTGCTGTCTGTGGGCCTCTCCGGCCTCTGTGTCTCTCGGGTTCTCCCAGACTCAGTTCCCGTTCTCTTCTCTCCCTCTCTGGGCTTCTGGCTTCCCCTCCCGCTGTGTCTTCCTTCCCTTCCCCTCTCGGCGGCGAATCTGGTCTCTGTTAGTCTCCGCTCTCACTCCGTCTCTGTGTGTCTCGCTTTCGGCGGGTCTCTCGCTCCTCTCCGCCGCTGCAGATCAATAAACCTTCGCCGCCGTCGCCGCGGCTGTCGCAAGGAGGAGGGGCGGGGGTGTCGGGCGCGCTGACTCTCCCCCACCCGACGCTGCTCGGGAAAGCCCGGGGCGCCTGGACCCCGGGTGGCAAGACCCGGACAGGCGCGGCGCCAAGGCCGAGGGCGTCTGAGGGGCGCCGGGGTGTCAGCGTGCACGCGCTGCCCCGCGAGCGTTCCCGCCACCGCCACCACCCCCCCCAAAGCCCGGGCGCGCGGACCCCACGCCGCACACACGTGGTGCGGCCTCGCCTGCTAGAGCGGGCGGCGCGCAGCCTCGGGGGCGCGCGCTAGAGGGAAGAAGAACCCGGGCCGGGTGTCTTTACACCCTTGCTCCACTCCCTTAACTCTGCATGCATCCTGGCGTCTGAGGCCCGGGTCAGGGATTTAACAAGTTCAGGGCCCCTTGGGATCCTTTCCCTACACCCTGGTCTTGTTAGACACCCTGTTTACCTGCCCCTAATTGCCCCAGGGGGAGAGGTTTGCTCCTTCCCTGCTCCTTCTCCGCCCCCCCTCCGCAGATACTCAGGGCTCAGTGGGGCCAGGCAGGCGGGGCACTGGCCAGGCAGTGGGGCCAGGCAGGCGGGGCACTGAAGGAGTGACAGCGAGGGGTCGGGATGCGCTTCCGGGACTGTGAGAGTCGGGGAGAGACCGAATAACGGGGTGAGGGGGCCCCCCACCCCGATGGGGTGTGTCGCCATTTGCCTTTCTGCAAGAGAGGTGAGAGTTTAGTAAGGGATGAAGTAGGAGAAGAATAGAGAACTGTATGTAGGGGCAGGGTTCAGTCTCCAGATCCCAGCCCACCTCACCACCACCCCCTGGGGGCGGAGTGGGGGCCGGCCCTGGAGGCGGGGTTAGCTGCTGAGCTTCGCTGGGACCTGGAGCCACCTCTCTCTTCACTGCCAGGGCGAGCAAGGATGACAGATTCAATTAAAGCGCCCAAGCCAAGCAGACACGTTGGTCTCCCGGGCATTGCGGCTGGGGATTCCTGGCACCCAGCCCTTCTGTCCCATTGCCCCTGTGCTTCAACTGGGCACAGCCACCCCATTAGCACGTCTTTTTCTCACATGCCCAGCTTTGGGGTCATTTCAGGGGGTATTTCTGCCACCCAGCACAGGGATAGGTAAAAGGTGGCTTCTCTTCGTTTGTGGTCACCCAGCAACCTTTTTATAAGGCTAGTCCTGCCCTGTTAAGGAAACTGAGTTACCTGTAGGGATACCTGCAGAGTTGGCTTACTTCCTTCTGGAATGGGGTGTGTTGCAGGGGAACTGGGCGGTGCAGCAGGGAGGGGCCCCTTCAGAGTGAGACTGGAAACATGGGTGAGGCTCAAGGACAGGAGCCCCAGTGTGGCTGTGCAGCTGCTCCAGACCTGGCATCCTTAGTGCTGGCAGCCCCCTCCCCAAAGCCTGAGGGGAGGAACAGGAGACTGTGGGGTTGAGGATGGACAGGCAAGCCTGGGGTGGCAGCTTGGTGCCAGGCCTGGTCTAACCCGTTTTCCTGCTCCCAGTACCCCAGGCCAAGACTCCTGCCCACCTGAGTGCTGGGGCCAGGGAGGGGCCTGAATGACCCATTACTCCCATGGGAACCGAGTGGGGCTGGTGACATTCCTCATGACTCAAGAAGGCTGTGCCCATTCTAACTGGGGTGCCAAAATGCCAGCTGTCACCTATCTGCCTCACTGCCAGGTTTAGAAGGGGGTGCTTGTGGAGGGGGCAGCACAGACAAAGCCATGGAGGTAGGGTAAAGTGGGGAGAGACCCTGAAGGCCCCACCCCAGGCAGAGGCCTCCAAGCTCAGCTCATTTCCTTAATGGATCTAATTACTGTTTGTGGAAATGGGTGGTGCCTGGTGACATGGGGAGCCAGTCCTTCCCCTCAGGGAGTTCCCAGGGATTAGGGACCCCAGTGGTTTGACATTTTGCCAACCACCCCATGCCTTCCTGTGTCCACCATACTCACCTCTCTCTGCCAAGATGTGTGCATTCTTACCCTAAGGAAATTAGAGGAAAATCCTGCTCCCCTCTCCAAGTTTCCTTCTCCATTCAGAGGTTTCTCCCATACCCACACCACTCAGTACCACTATCCAGGACGTTAAAACCAACACTTTGATGGTGACTAGCAAGGCAGGTGGGGATTACAAGGGACCCAGCATCTGCTTCTCTGTCCCAAAGAGGGATCAGGGAAGTAAGAGGCACAGCCATCTTGTCTAGGCACTATGCCCACTGCTCTGCCTAGCATCATCCAGCGGGGCAGTGGTGCCCAGGTTGAGGAGGGAGGTGCATAATGAGACAGAACTTATGGCTGGTTGGCATGATGCCACGTGGGGCCTTGGTGCTCAGTCCCTTAGCTCCCTGATTTGTAGTGTCAGATTACTGGGGACCTAATTGCCCATGGCCTTCAGGTGGAGGTCAGGGAACTCAAGGTATAAAGGCCAATGATACTATAGTGTGGGGAGAGGAGAGAGCCTGAGACTGCTGGGGTCAACCAAGACTGGCATGTGGGCCAGCACACACACAACCTAGATTCCTGTGTGTATGCCACCCATGAGTAGACGGTGGACATATTTGTGTGTGTGCCATAGAACTTATGCATGTATATGCATGAAGCCGCCATACATGCGTATGTGAGGGCAGGTCCTGTCGGACTGGCCTTGGGGGTGGACTGGCAGCGGCAGGGAAGCATGCTGGGAGAAGCGAGGGAGGGTGTCTCTTGGGAGGGATCCCTCCCACTTTCACCCTACGCTTCCATCCCTTCTCTCTCTCCTCCCGGCTGGTGAATTATGGGGGATGGACGGAGGAAATCCGGGCCTGGGTCTGGGAGTCGCTGGGGCCTGCGCCGTTTCTGTGGCAACCAAAGCGTACGTTCCCGTCTTCCCTCCGCCCCTCTCCCTCGCCGTTTTCTTTGGTGGCAGGCCGGGCTTCCCTGCGCCTTTGCTACCCTCTGGTGGCCACCAGGAGAAAGACAGGCCCAGAAGGAGAGGGCACCGAAGGATAGTTGAGGGACTGGCGGCACTAGGGCCCTGGGGACAGAGACAGGGGCTGTGGAGAGAGGAAGCTCGGAGGAAAAGTCGGGAGGCTCGGGGACCCTAGGGAAGGTCTGCGGAGCGGCGAGGTGAAAAGCGGATTGGCTTTGGGGTTTCTTCTCGCTGACCCGCTTCCTTTTCCCCACAGCCTGCGGCGAGAGGGCTACACGGTCCAGGTGAATGTGAACGATTACCTGGATATTTACTGCCCGCACTACAACAGCTCGGGGGTGGGCCCCGGGGCGGGGCCGGGGCCCGGCGGCGGGGCGGAGCAGTACGTGCTGTACATGGTGAGCCGGAGCGGCTACCGCACCTGCAACGCCAGCCAAGGCTTCAAGCGCTGGGAGTGCAACCGGCCGCACGCGCCCCACAGCCCCATCAAGTTCTCGGAGAAGTTCCAGCGCTACAGCGCCTTCTCGCTGGGCTACGAGTTCCACGCCGGCCAGGAGTACTACTACATCTGTGAGTGACGGCCGGGGCGGGCCTAAAAGTCAGTGTCTGAGTGACAGGCAGCCGGGGGCGGGGTCCGCGGTCCCCGGCGGGCCGATGCGGCTGTCGCTAGGGCTGCCCAGGATGAGGCGGGGGCACCGGGGGCCTCCGGGTTTTAGCTCCGAGAGGGTCGTGAGGCTAAGAGAGGGGTTGGTGACAGGCCCAAGTTTGGGCCGCAGAGAGTGTTTCTGTGAGGGCCGTTCCAGGCTCGGGACCTCAGGGGTCAGAGCTTCTGGGGGTGGGACCAAAGGGACTTCTAGGGCTGGAGGTGGATGCACTGACCAGTGTCCAAAGGGTAGAGGGAGGGCTGAGGAAGAATGCCCCAGGGGAGCAGCTTGGAGAGAGTGAGATCTTCTGAGCGAGGGCACAGGGCACAAATTGGGCGAAAGTGACTCAGGCCAGTCTCCTCCGCAGCCACGCCCACCCACAACCTGCACTGGAAGTGTCTGAGGATGAAGGTGTTCGTCTGCTGCGCCTCCAGTGAGTATAAGCGGCTCCGAGCCGCGCCCCCACCCTTGGCTCCCCTGCTTTGGGGCTCTCCTGGCTTCCTGGGGGTGGGGGCGGAGGGCACAGGCGAGGGGGCCTTGCTCCCCAGCTGTAGCAGGGGGAGGGGATCCTGGCCCTGACTCTCCCCTCCTCTCTCCCCACCCGCACCCCACCCCGCAGCATCGCACTCCGGGGAGAAGCCGGTCCCCACTCTCCCCCAGTTCACCATGGGCCCCAATGTGAAGATCAACGTGCTGGGTGAGTCTGCGCAGCGCCCTCTGGTGGCCACTGCTGGAACCGCAGCCCCCTCCCCGGTGCCTGCTCATCTCGCATGCCTTCTCCTGGGGGCACTGACCCTGCCTATCCCCGTGGGTGGTCACGTCCCCAGCTCCACCGCTGCTGCCGCTGCCGCGAGCTCCCGCCCCAGCGCGCAGCCCAGCCCTCACCAGTCTGTCTATTCATCTGTCCACAGAAGACTTTGAGGGAGAGAACCCCCAGGTGCCCAAGCTTGAGAAGAGCATCAGCGGGACCAGCCCCAAACGGGAACACCTGCCCCTGGCCGTGGGCATCGCCTTCTTCCTCATGACACTCTTGGCCTCCTAGCTCTGCCCCCTCCCTTGGCAGAGAGAGATGGGACGGGGCTGGGAAGGAACAGGGAGCTTTTGGCCTCTTCAAGGGAAGGCTAGCTGTGGAGCCTAGACCCCTCCTCCCATGGCTGAAAGTGAGGGGTCTACACCATATATCTGTGCCCACCTCCTCTGCCCTCTCCCCCCAGGTAGGGCACTGTAGTGGAACCAGGCACAGGGACAGCCATGGGTCCCGGGTGGCCTTGTGGCTCTGGTAATGTTTGGTACCAAACTTGGGGGCCATAAAGGGCAGCGCTCAGGACTCCCTGCCCCCAGGTACCTTTCCCTGACTCCTGGTGCCCTCCCTCTTTGTCCCCCAGAGAGACAAATATGCCTCCAGAGAGAGCAAATCGAAGCGTGGGAGGCACCCCTATTGCTCTCCTCCAGGGGCAGAACATGGGGAGGGGACTAGATGGGTGAGAGGGTAGCACCACGCGCTGCCCCCTTCCCCTGTTTACAGCAATAAGCACGTCCTCCTCCCCCTACTCCCACTTCCAGGATTGTGGTTTGGATCAAATCCGAGTTTACAAGTAGACACCCCTGGGGGGCGGGCAGTGGACAAGGATGGAAAGGGGTGGGCATTGGGGTGCCAGGCAGGCATGTACAGACTCTATATCTCTATATATAATGTACAGACAGACAGATCCCTCTCCCTCTTAACCCCCTGACCTTTCTCAACTTCCCCTTCCAGCTTCAGACCCCTTCCCCACCAGGCTAGGCCCCCTACACCCAGGGGGACCCCCTGGCCCCTCTTTTGTCTTCTGTGAAGACAGGACCTATGCAACGCACAGACACTTTTGGAGACCGTGAGACAACAATGCCCCCTCCCTTCCAGCCCTGAGCCGGGAACCATCTCCCAGGACCTTGCCCTGCTCACCTTATGTGGTCCCCACCCATCCTCCTGGGCCTTTTTCAAGTGCTTTGGCTGTGACTTTCATACTCTGCTCTTAGTCTAAAAAAATAAACTGGAGATAAAAATAACAGAGTGTGTGTGATTTCAAGGGGCCATCACCCTTCTGTTACACTGGTTAAACCCCATAGGTCACAGTGCTGGGTGGGAGAGGGGATTCTGGGGCCAAAGAGTCAATTGAACGCTTATTCTGTGGCTTGTCTCCTCTAAAAGAGGCAGTTCTGTGTGTGGGGAGCAACAGGGGCTTCCAAACTGGGCCTGGTTGACTTTGGACAAATCATTTAACCTCTCTGAGCCTTAAGTATCCCGTCAGAAAAACTGGGCTATAAAATCTCTCTCTCAGAGTTGGTGTAAGGATTAAATGACACAAGGAGTTAAAAACTCAAATCAATGATGGTTTTCTCCTTTTCTTCCCATTCAATTCTGTAATTAGAGGTTCTTGACTGGGGGATGTATGGATTTCAGGGGGTTGGTGAACCTAGATAGGAAAAAAATTACATCTTTACTTACAGTCACCTATAACCGAAATTTAACATTCTCCTGTGTACTTGGGCAGCAAGCCATAATGGTATTAACAGTACCTGTGACTTTGTAACCACCTGAAATCACAGATGTTTTCAGACTGCATTATAGTTGTTAAAGATATCTCAAGATATCATTTACGCTCATCACAACTTTGAAATGATCATATTGTTAGATTTTCCTTATTTTTAATGTGTTAATAAAGAAGCATATGTATTACTATACCAAAAATGTAAATGTTTTGATAACTGCTTCAATATAATTAGTTTCATTTAGAACCCTTTGTAATTTTATTCATTTTAAAACATTATGCCCAAAGGGCTGGGAGTTCAGTTCACTGGGGTGAGGCTTGCCATGACCACAGCACCCTGCGACAGTCAGGAGGACCCAGGAGACAGAAGGCAAAAGCTGGGAGAATGGGCGAAGCAGTCAAAGGCCACTTCTAGGAGCCCAGGCTGGGTAAGGTCAAGGTTGTACAGGCTGGCACTGTGTAGGCGGTGGTGATAGGAACTAAAATGTACCCGGGGCTTCACTTGCTGAGCCAAGTGCCCTGGCCTAGAGAGGGGTACCTTCTTATCGCCAAGCTGTGCACCCTTGGGACTCTATCCCACCCAGGTTCTCTAATTGGCACTGTGTGGGCCGGCTGCATCCTGGGCAAGTGCCCCTCCTGTGTGCCCCTGGGGCTCCTGCCAGCTGCAATGTGAGAGTGAGTCCTTGGCGCCAGGGACTGTGTTTTCTCCCAGAGAAATGGAATCTCAGTGGGACTCTGGAGAGTGGGTGGGTTTCCCAGTGGTAGAACAAGGAGTGTGGTTGGGAGGGCAGGTAGGAAAGAAGCAGGGGCAGCCGGAGGACCAGTCTGTGGTCCCTTACTGGGAGATAAGACTGAAAGGTAGTCTCATCCATCCAATGGTCTGTGTAGTCAATTGACATTTACTGAGCACCTACTGAGTGCCAGGCTCTATCCTGGCTACTGGGGAAATGAAGAGGACACGGCCTCCATCCTCAAATAAGCTCATAATTTAGTGTGTGTTGATGTGTGAGCAGAAATCAGTAACATACACACTGACAATATAACCTGCGCTTTCGTGGGTACATGCCCGGGGGCTTTGGGAACACCAAGGAAAAGCACACACTTGCCTGGGGACACAGGGAAGAAGCTTCAGGGAGGAGGAGGTACACACAGCTGGGGCCCCACTGGGGAGAGTCTTGAAGGCCTTGAGGTCTGAAGAGTATAATTTGTCCCACGGGGGAGCCACAGCAGTAGGCCTAAGCCGCAGGATCCCTTCAGTCCCAGGACTGGGCAAGATAAGGGCTGACCAGCTGGGATGGGGAAGGCTTGAAGATCCAAAAATCCAGAAATGGTTAAGACTGAGATATGACCAGGCATTTGGGGACAGGAACTAGAACAAGCCAACTTCCGTTTACTGAGCACCTACTATGTGGTGAGCACTCAAGCCTCACTATTCCAATAATACAGATGAGGGTCTAAGAGGCTATGTCCCTTGACTAGAGTCACACAGCCTGGTAAGTGTTAGGGCTGGCATTCAAAGTGGGTCTGAGCCTGGCATGGTGGTGCACATGCCTGTAATCCCAGCTACTCAGGGGGTTGAGGCGGGAGGATCACCTGAGCCCAGGAGTTCCAGGCTGTAGTGCACTATGATCCTGCCTGCGATAGCCACTGCACTCAGCCTGGGCAACATAGCGAGACCCCGTCTCTAAAAGAAAACAATCAGGAAAATCAAATGGCTCTGACTGTCACTGTGCCCTGACCACTGGAACCTGTACCACCTCCTGGAACCCTTTCCCACAAATCCTGACTGCCTCCCCTCATGCCCATAGCCTGTCACCCCTTCCACCCATGCTACTTGGGGTTTCTGGAGAAAGATATCAAAGGCCCGCAGGTCTGGATTGGGTGACCCAATCCAAACCCTTCATTTTACGGATGGGAAGACCGAATCTCAGAGAGAGCAAGTCACTTGTCCACAGTCACTCAGGTGTCTGTAGTAGAGCCAGGACTGGAACTCAGGCTCCTGAGCCCTCCTCATCTTTTCTTCTATTGTACTGCAATGCCCCGGTGGGGAAGATTTGCATCTTCCCAGGAATTGAAAGTTGGCATCAGAAAGTTCTCAAACCACCACAAGCAGCAACTAAAAAGACAGTGCCACTCACCTCAAGGACCTCCTCCCCCTCTAGCCTGGGGCTTCAAGAAGCTGCCAGGCCCTGCTGGGATCTCCCCTCAGGCAAGGCTTTAGTTCCCAGCACTGAGATGGACAGACGCCAGTGACCCCAAGCCTGCCTAGCATGGGGCCTCGGCCTTGTGATGCCAAGGTCTGCAGAGCCTAGGGTGTCCTGGCCGTGACAGTGGTGAGGCAGCACCAGGGGTAGGGCCTGAGGGTAGGGGCTGGAGGGAGGGAAGGAAAGAGACTCACAGTCCAGACCTGACACCTACTGATGGACAGGACAGGACAGAAGAGAACAGAGCAGAGCAGGATAGCTTCGTACATGGGACTGAACAAGGATTGGGGAAGTGGCATATTGGGCAACAGGGCTACAGCTGGTGAAGGGGAAACGAGGCTGAGCTCCCTCCTTCCTCCTGCCCCACCCCAGCACCTGGGAGCCCTTAGAATGTGCTGCCAGCTGCCAGATGGTGCCCCAGGGCTTGAACATTCTGCCCATCCTGCTGTCCCCACCCCGAAGCACACAGCCCTGAGGCGAGGGAAATTCAAGCCAGTGAGTTGTGCAGGCTCCAGACTGGCAAAGCCACCTCCAGATGGGCAGCACCCCCACCCTGACACCCTGAGTGGGCTCTTCTTCCTCCTTGTTTTGTCTCATTTGGATCCTCCAGCCAGGGCGCCAAGAGGGGTCACATCAACACATGCTGGAGGCCGGGCGCGGTGGCTCACGCCTGTAATCCTAGCACTCTGGGAGGCCGAGGCGGGCAGATTGCTCGAGGTCAGGAGTTCAAAGTCAGCCTGAGCAAGAGCGAGACCCTGTTTCTACTATAAGTAGAAAGAAATTAATTGGGCAACTAATATATATAGAAAAAATTAGCCGGGCATGGTGGCACATGCCTGTAGTCCCAGCTACTCGGGAGGCTGAGGCAGAAGGATTACTTGAGCCCAGGAGATTGAGGTTGCTGTGAGCTAGGCTGACGCCACGGCACTCACTCTAGCCTGGGCAACAAAGCGAGACTCTGTCTCAAAAAAAAAAAAACAAAAACAAAAAAAAAACACACACGCTGGAATTCCCAGTGGTTCTCACAGGTGAACCCCCCAGACACAGAGAACCTCACACATCCCTCCTCTCCTGTCCTCCCCAAGGTCAAAAACAGAAGCAACAACAAACAACTGAACACAGATGTTGGCGTGGGGAGTGACGTTCAGGGCAGGCTGTGCCTCCCCTTCTGGGAGAGAGGTCACTCCAGCCTGCTGCGGGCAGCGGGGAAGGAGCGGGGCTCTTTGCCATCCAGGCCGGGGTCCAAGCCTTGTTGCCACTCAGGGCTTGCACGTCTGTCCACATCCACCAGGTGGCGCAGCACCTGAGCTGGGGGCCGGCCAGAGTGCGTGAGTGGAGCTTGGGGAGGGACTGTGGTCCTGGAAGTGCTGTGGCTGCCTGTTGGCCACTAAAGGGCTGCACTGTGGGGTTCTCTGTTCTCAGGCCTGGAACAGGGCGGGCCCAGCCCATCTCCACCCTAGAATTTCTATGACCCCTACTCCCTTCTCTCCTCCCCCCAGTTCTAGATGCTATGGGGTTGGGAGTGGACGTGACCCAGTCCACACCTGTCCCCAGGGCTACTTGGCCCCCAAATCTTACACATTCTCCCTCACCCTTCTTGTTCTGTCTAGTTGGCAAACCAGGGGCTTGGGCTGTGCGGGGAGAACATGAGTTGGGACAGGAATATGAGCTGGATGTGGTGGAATGAAAGACACAAGCTGGGACAAAAGGCAAGGACTGGGCAGAGGGGAACAAGAGGACACAGGTGGGGATGATGCACTTGAGCTGGATTGGGGGCATGGGGTGCCAAGAGGGACACAGACAGGAGGCGGAAGAGACACAAGTTGGGCAGCTGCAGCCCCTAGACTACAGACTGGAGAAGTGTGACGCTGACACAAGGGATAGCCCGGGGACACTCTGGGTCCAGACTAGGAGACCAGCTGCAGGCAGGGCCCAGTGATGCTGGCCTGCCATCTGACCCTGGGAGTCATGGCCTCCTGCAGTCTCCGCTGGCTTGGTCCTGTGAGCGGCAGATCTGGGCCCTCCCAAAAGGGTCAGCACCAAACTCTTGGCCTCCATTCACCACAGCGTCTGGCCCCAAGTAATTATAGGGCTGTCACCAAGCCTGGCTATAAAAGGGTGGACAGACAGGCCCAGGAACCTGGGAGAGCTGGGCTCAACCGGCTAGCCAGGGGCCCCCCACCTACCCCTGAGAGGCCAGGGCGTCACACTCATGCTCACATACAATTGCACACACTTCGGTTCACACCTACTCTTATAATCTCACAAACTTTGCAACCCTACACAGTCAATCAAACTCACTGCCCAGGGGGAG